AGGTGGGGGGGGAGTGAGGGAGGAGGGAGGTGTGGGAACTGGGTGGAGGGGAGTTATGGGGGAAAAAAGAGGAACAAATGTAATAATCTGAACAATAAAGATTTAACTAATAAAAAATAAAATAAAAATATATTAATACAAGTCCATGTAGGCAATAATGGTTGCTTAATATTGCATTATCATTGAAAATTTAGACTTCCAAACACTAAAAATTCTCATACATTACATTACTTTAAATAAAAAAATATATAAAATATGGACATACATCCCTGGCTGGCATGCTCAGTGGTTAGAGTATCATTATATACAACAGAGGGTTGTGGATTTGATTCATGGTCAAGGGCACTTACCTGTGTTACAGGTTCGATCCCATCCCCAGTTAGGGCACGTGTGGGAGGCAACCAATAAATGTGTCTCTGTCACATCGATGTTTCCCTTTCTCCTGCCTCTTTCTCTCTCTCTCTCCCCTCTCTCCCTCTTCCCTTCCACTCTCTAAAAATCAATGCAAAAAATATTCTCACTCCTGGTAAGGATTAAAAAAATGTAAAAATACATATTTATGAAAAAAAGGTGAGTTACTCTTGAATTATGCATTTGGTCTGTAAATATATGGTATTTGTATGATACATATACATGTTTGTATTATGTACTCCATATGGCATTATTAGAATGTAATAATTTATTGGCCTAAAAATGAAATACTTGTAAATTAAACAAAATCTTGTAGCTTGTACAAATATTTAATACACTATTTTAATGTTAACTGATGTCTTACCCAGTTTTCACAAAATTTATGTCATAATATTTAATTAATTTTAGTTTACAACCTTTCCAAAGTTTAAATTTTAAGAAACATTATAATGAAAGCATGAGTCGGGGCAGGGGGCGGGGGGGATGAGGATTTAAGGGGGGGGATGAGGACACATTTGTAATACCTTAACTAATAAAGAATTAAAAAAAAAAGAAACATTATAATTGCCCAAAACATGACTACTTTATTCCAATGGGCCCTGAAATACCTCAAAAATTTAATCTCTATCTTTATGAAAAAAGTTTTAAAAGTCATCGGGACTAGTCCTGGTTGGTTTGGCCCAGTGGATAGAGCTTTGGCCAGCCAAATGAAGAGTCCTAAGTTCGATTCTGGTCAAAGTCATATACCTGGATGCAGGCTCAATTCCAGTCAAGGGAATTACCTGGGTTGCAGGCTCGATTCCCAGCCCTGGTTAAGGAGCATGCAGGAGGCAACCAATCAATGTGTCTCTCTCACATTGATGTTTCCCTCTTTCTCTCTCTCCCCCACTCCCTTCTGCTCTAAAAATTAATGAAAAAAATATCCTCAGGTGAGGATTAACAACAAAAACCAAGTAATTAAACATGTTTAACATACTTAAATTCTATCTACTTCTACTTATATAAAAACCCTGGGTGTGACATCACGGCCAGAAGCGCGTGGGGCGAGGGGAGGCGTGGGGTGAGGGGAGGCGTGGGGTGAGGGGAGCACTTCAGGAAGCAGCAAGAAAACCCTATAGAATTCAAGCCACTGCCTCACCCCTGCTCGGGCCACACTCCCCTGGGGAGGGGTTGGGCTGTCTCCAGGGCCGCAGTGGAGAGAAATGTGCCTTAACCAGCGATCTTTGCTCTTCTGCAGGCCCTGCTATCCCGGTGGGTGTGGACGTGCAGGTGGAGAGCTTGGACAGTATCTCGGAGGTGGACATGGTACGCAGTGCCCTTGGTGGGGCAGCCTAGAGTGTGGGGTCTCGAGGCTAAGGTTCTGGGGGAGCCTGTGCCTGGTGGGGCTGCACTGGCGCAGGCTGTGCCTGGGTGGGCCAGGCCGGAGCTGACGGGAGTAACACTGGGACTTGGAAGTAGGTCCAGGTGCAGTAAAATCTAAAGCAGGGGCTCTAAGCTTCATGGGTAAAAGTAACTGGGGGACTTGGTTCAGTGCAGATCCCTGGGCCCTGCCCTACGCTTTCTGATTCAGAGTCTCTGGGAGTGAGGCCCAGCACTTTACACTTTAAATACACCCTTCAAGTGATGCGAGCGGTCAGGTAACCCGCACTTGGAGGAGAATGGGAGGTGAGTATTTTCAGATGGAAATCCCATAAGGAAGGAAGCTTGCTGAGCCGTTTCTGTCTGGTCTCGCCCGGCTCCGCCAGGACTTCACCATGACCCTGTACCTGCGGCATTACTGGAAGGACGAGAGGCTGTCCTTCCCCAGCACCAGCAACAAGAGCATGACCTTTGACGGCCGGCTGGTGAAGAAGATCTGGGTCCCTGACGTCTTCTTTGTCCACTCCAAAAGGTCGTTCACCCACGACACCACCACGGAGAACATCATGCTGCGGGTGTTCCCGGATGGGCAGGTGCTATACAGCATGAGGTAACTGCCGCGGGGCTGTGGTTTCTAATACGTGCCATTCCAATATGTGGGGTCAACCTCTTTAGCCCTGAAGAGTTTGTCACTGTGGTTGGGTCTGTGGGCTACATGGGATGATACAGCCTTCGGATGCCAATTAGAAATCTCTCCGATGAAATGGCCACCCTCTTAGCTGGTGACTTTCCTGTCATTGGGGATCTTAAGCTTGGGTTGGGACACTAGATGGGACTGAATGAGTGGAGGGAGGCAATGACCTTCTATGTACTTTCCATCCCTGAAAGCTTATAAATGCTAGTTTATTGGTAATAAAAAATTTTAAAAAACAGCTACTATTCATTGAGTGCTATGGCAGGTTGGCTTCTGGGCTAACTTGAGTGATTGCACAGTCTTAGTCGCATCTTCCTGGCCTTCTTGTACAGTTCACCAGAATTAGATGCCAGTACCTTCAGGTGGGTTGTGGGAGGGGGCATAATCTTCCAGGTATCTCTGGAGAAGGCTGGCTGAGAGCCATGACAATAGAAGGTGCAGATGTGAGCTATTAGCAGCCAACAGGCTCAGTAGCCAGGTTCTAGGCAGAGCACCAATATTATCTTCTACAGAAAGACAAAAGTTAAGGTTCTGTGACTTAGATACCTGGATTTCCAAACTTCTGAAATAGACATGAGGAGGCAGCTGCTCTTCATCAGGTCCATGTTCTCCTTACTCTGAGCAGGTATATGAACCAATAACTCACTGCACAGGCCAACATGTGTGTTTGGGTTGTCTAGGATTACGGTCACTGCCATGTGCAATATGGACTTCAGCCACTTTCCCCTGGACTCCCAGACCTGTTCCTTGGAGCTGGAGAGTTGTAAGTATCGGTATGCTTAATGTCAAATCTTTGCCTTATTCCCTCTCCAATATTTGTGCCATTTTGATAACCATGAGACTGAGTGCTGGCTGCCAGTATTAAGAACTGTTTACTCATAGGCTGGAGAAGGATTTCCCTGTTACTTCACCCTGTATCAGAAGCAAAGGAGTCAAATTGATTTATTTCCTGTCCCCCAAGATGCATATACAGATGAAGATCTGATGCTGTACTGGAAGAATGGGGACGAATCCCTGAAAACAGATGAGAAGATCTCCCTGTCTCAGTTTCTAATTCAGAAATTTCACACCACCTCCAGGCTGGCCTTCTACAGCAGCACCGGTAGCAGACTATTTTTGGTGTTTCTTTTTAAAAACGTATTATTATTTTGTTGTTGTTAAGATACTTTTATTGATTTCAGAGAGTAAGGGAATGGAAGAGAGAGATAGGAACATAAATGATGAGAGAATCATTGAATAGTTGCCTCCTGCACACCTGCTACTTGGCATGTGCCCTGACTAGGAATTGAACTGTGACCTCCTGGTTCATAGGTCTACACTCAACTACTGAGCCACACCAGCCAGGCTTATTTTTCAATTACAGTCTACATTCAGTATCATTCTGTATGAGTGTCGGGTATACAGCTCAGTGGTTAGGCAATCATTCACTTCACAAAGTGGTCCAGTAGCTAAGTTTTGCATGGTCTGATTCAAATGTGAAAGAAAACACAGTAGAATTCTTCTTCAGCTTTAACCTTTCCCCTCCTAAAGAAAATAGACTCTTCTTATTTAAAAAATTCATAGTCCCCCTAAACAGATAACACTTAAAAGCAGAGAGTAAAAATGTTGCTGTCTTTGGAAATCCCACGGCCAGAGGTAAGCATTCCTAACAATTTAGCAAACACCCTTGCCGACATCTTGCTTTAATTATGCAATTTCACGAAAGTGGGGTTATATTTTACATGCTGATCTGTAATCTGATTCATTCAACTTGATATGGGTGGATAGCTTTCTGTGGCAATGCTTTTATACCTCTATTTAGATCTATAGATTCATTTTTAATGCTTGTGTAACCTTTTCTTGGACCCTGGGCCATGTTTGAAGTTTTGAGAGGATCATGTGTCAGCTCTTTTCTAATCTCACCATTAGTTCTTTTATTAATTTCTTAGGACTGACATAACTAATTACCACAAACTGGGTGGTTGCTGCTTCTGAAGGCTCTAGGGAGGACTCCTTCCTAGTCACTCACTAGCTTCTAGTGGCTGCAGCATCACTCTGGTCTCTACTAGTACCTCCGTGGTCACATGGCATTCTCCCTGGGTCTCTGTGTCTTCACGTGGTGTTGTCTTTGTATCTATGTCCAAATTTCCCTCTTCTCTAAGGACATCAGTCATTGGATCATGGCCCATGCTAATTCAATATGACTCATCTTACTTTGATTACAGGTGCAAAGACCTTATTTCAAAATCACGTCCCCCTTCACGGGTATTGAGAGCTAGGACTTCAATGTTTCCTCCCGGGGGACACAACTCAGCCTACGACAACTCTGCAGTAGCTATGGGACCCTAGAGGACTTGTCTCTTCATTGTCCTTCGTCCCACAAATCTATGGTATAGATGTCCCAGTGCTGAGAAACCCATTGTTTCCTTGTCTTATGACATCAGTGTTGTGCGCGGCGCCCATGCTAATTTGTTTATCTCTGCCGCCATTTTAGTTTCTCCGCAAAGACCTTATTTCAAAATCACGTCCCCCTTCACGGGTATTGAGAGCTAGGACTTCAATGTTTCCTCCCGGGGGACACAACTCAGCCTACGACAACTCTGCAGTAGCTATGGGACCCTAGAGGACTTGTCTCTTCATTGTCCTTCGTCCCACAAATCTATGGTATAGATGTCCCAGTGCTGAGAAACCCAGGCCCTTCCATGGGAAGATTTCTTGCTACTGTCTGCCCCCGAATGGCTACCATCTCCCCGTTCACCTGCCCCCACCCACACTCCTGTAATCACAGCATCAAACACTGGGAAAAAGCAAGCCCAGCCAAGGTTGTAATGGTGTTGAGACAGCCCAAGCCTGATTCACTTTATGCCCACAGTGCTCATCCTCATTCCTCTCCTCTCTTTCATTCTGGTATGTATTGCCACACAATTTTCTTTTCTCATCTATTCTTGGCAAGTTCACATCAACTTTCTAAAACCATTAAGAGTTTCTTATATAACTTTTATAATGTACCACTGTTTCGAGTACTTTATATGAATTAACTAATGTCCACCCAACAAACCTATGGTATAGATGTTATTATCCCTTGTTTACAGATGAGAAAACTGAGACGAGGATGAATTAAGGTTAATTACCACAGCTGGTCAGTGGCCAGGAGAACTGCCTTAGTCACTATGTGTACTCCTCTTAGATGTTTTGTGCATTGGAATAGCATGCTTGCTTGCTTTGTTAGTTTTGTCCCGGGTTAGAGCCCTTCTGGAGTCCAGATTAAATGCATTTTCTTTATTCTTCCATTGTTTACTCTGTGCCAACAAGGAGGTTTATCATCCCATCCCACAGGGGCTGTGATCTCACCCAAGAGTGCTCTGTTTGGAACACGGAGTGTACATTTTCAAAGCTTCTGGCTTACTCCTTATGTCTCCAAGGCAACTCCCTGGTTTTCTTAGAAAAAAAGATAATGGAAAAGTTCTTCATGGAATAAAAGCAGCTCTCAGCCCTTGCAGAAAGACGCTTTGCAAACGTAGGAAGAAATGTGGTTTGCTTCCTGGATGCCAGTTTAAGCTGCTGAACTTGGACAAAGGCTGTGGGATGAATAAATGATTAGTAGCTTCTGTCACATTTGAAGATCACCCTCTATTTCTCCACTGCGCTAGGAACTCTTGCCTCATTCAAACAGTCCCCAAACCTACACAATCACATGTCAAACTTGTTGAGAGCCACACGACTGTCCCAGTCTTTCCTATTGACCCAACCCTTCCCTTCCCTGACTCAGTGCTAAGTTTCCAATCTGGCCAGATGGCTTTTGTCACCTCAGCAGCATTTCTCAGATGCACCCTGAGGTCTTCGTACATCCAAATCACCAGGGGAGTGTGTGACTAGAAAATTCTGGGCACCACTGCAGCTACTGAGTCAGAATCTCAGGTGGTGAGCCCAGGAATCTGCATGTTTAACTTGTGATTCTGATGCACATCGAAGTTCAAAGATCATTACTTTTAGCCAAATGTTCTCAAACTATGGTGCTCAGATCAGCAGCTTCAGGATCGCCTGGGAACTGGGGAGCCCAGCAATCTGTTGGGACAAGCCCTCCAGAGATGGTATATACAGATTGCCAGGCCCCATCCCCACAGCTTCTTACCAGCAGATCCTGTATAGGCCCCAGGAATCGGCATTTCTAACTAGTTCCCAGTGACACTCTTGCTGCTGGCCGAGGAGCACCATTCCCCGCCCTCCCCTACAACCCCTGGAAACCTCTAGTCTATTTCTGTCTCTGAATTTGACTATTCTAGGTACCTCATAAAAGTGAAATCATGTACTTGTCCTTTTGTGCTTGCCTGTTTCACTTACCATAATGGTTTCAAAGTTCATCCATGTTGAAGCATGTGCAAAAATTCCATTTTCTTTTTTTATTTTTTTAATATATTTTATTGATTTTTTACAGAGAGGAAGGGAGAGGGCTAGAGAGCTAGAAACATCGATGAGAGAGAAACATCGATTCAGCTGCCTCCTGCACACTCCCCACCAGGGATGTGGTCACAACCAAGGTACATGCCCTTGACCGGAATCGAACCCGGGACCCCTCAGTCTGCAGGCTGACGCTCTATCCACTGAGCTAAACCGGTCAGGGCCATTCTCTTTTTTTAAAGGCTGAATAATAGTCCATTGTGTGGATTATATTTAACCATTCATCCGTTGATGGACATTGAGTTGTTTTTACCTTTTGGCTATTGTGAATAGTGCTGCTATGAACCTGGGAACTTGTAAAGCATGCCTAGGGCCTCATCCCAGACCAATTAAATCAGGCCCTCCCTGGGGTAGAGCAGGGCTTTGGAGAGTAGTAAAGCTCCCAGGGGCTCCTCTCCTGCGGCCAGGCTGAGTCACTCTCCTCAGCCTGCACCCTTCACTCCCATCTCTGAGCCTCTCCTCTCCCCATCCACTTGTCCAGCTTTCACTCATCTCCTCCATGAGATCTTTCTTAATCATTCCAGTCAATAGTTATTGAGGCCTCTCTTCCAAAACCGAAAGCACTCACTGTTCCCACAGGGGGACATTTTAGCACTTAGATATGCAATGTTCTATATCTTAGGCACTTCCATCCTAGGGGACTTTCATGCAGTTCCTTGAAAATCCTTGAGGGCAGGAACCTAGATCTAGGTCTCTCTCTATTCCCTTCAGGCCCCGCACAGCACATGCGGAGGCCCTTGGTGGCCACTGCTGAACTGAAGGGATGTTGTGTGTGAGGAGCCCTGGCCTGGGTATTGGAGACATGAGGTCTTAGAAAAGCCTCATGTTCCAGATAAGAGGGTTAGATCCAATCTGGGTTTCAATTATTCACATAACACCATTGTGAAGCTTGTTTTGCCTACTACTTATGCTGCCATCGACTTAATTTTTTTAAGTCAACTCCCCTCCTGTACTTCATTTTGAAAAGGAATTTTACATCATTGTCATCAATGGGAAACTGGTATCACTTGCCATAAATAGAAGATGACTTCAATAATAATTGTAATGAACACAAACAGAAAAGCCCTGCCCCTGTACTCCTGAGATCACCTTGTTGTACACCGTTGTGTGTTCCCCGTGCTTTGAGGCACAGAGCTGGGCCACCTCTGAGTTCTGTTGGTTTCTGATATGCTGGGCTGAGCGGGGGAGGGATGGGGTGCACACAGCTTCAGTTCACTTTACACATTTGCACTGTCCTTAACACCACCTTTGTTCCCCGTGGTTGGGTAATGATGTTGTGGGTCATTTGAAACCTTAAAATGTCTATCCTTTTCTTACAACCATTAATCAGAGATTCTCAAGTTGCCAGAATGAAACAGATAATATCTATATCCTCATTTTCTCCTGAGGAATGAGCAAATGGTAAATGACTTGCACAAGACGAATGGATTGACTTCCACCCGGCAGACGGAGTGTCGGAAGTAGAACTGATGTCAGGCTTCAGGATCATGTGAATGACCTATTTCTTCTTGTGATGAATGTGGAGGTTGACCAAGCTGCCCAGTCTCACAATAAGGACAGTGACAAGAGCTCAGCTCAGCTGGCTCCTGCCTCAGTGATATCGGCTTCAACAAAATAGAACCAGTCACTCAGGAAATGTGGTTGTGGTTTACAAAAACAAACAACTTAACCTAGACGTCTATCGTTCTGCCTTTCCCCAAACTGCTGCGAAGAGAAGTTGGGTGATACTGACTAAAACAGTGAATGCACAAATACTGGCAAGACATTTATTTGTAGGAGAGAGGGCTTCGATTTTGGAAAGGAAATGTATTACATTAAGCCACTTGGTCATTCACGTTTAGCCCATGGGGGAGGGCTTTGTTTTTGCCTCTCAGATTGAACTCACTGGCTTCTTCCTGTGTCCCCCAGGCTGGTACAACCGTCTGTACATCAACTTCACGTTGCGTCGCCACATCTTCTTCTTCTTGCTCCAGACCTATTTCCCTGCCACCCTGATGGTCATGCTGTCCTGGGTGTCTTTCTGGATTGACCGCAGAGCTGTGCCTGCCAGAGTGTCACTGGGTAAAGGCGTTTGCTAAGGTGTGATGGGGGTGGTAATTTATTTATTTTTTCAACTGATCACTATGTAAAGCAGAAGTAAGACCATTACTCAGAGTTCTTAAGTGATGGGCTGTCAAGTCAAAGGAGCAGCTCTCCTGTTTCTGGTCTTCACCATTCCCGGGCTGCCCTCTGTTTCCCGGGCGACATTATGAAAACCACAGGGACCTAAAATAGCAACAGCTCTGCTCAGATCATTTCGGAAAGATAGAGCCTATTCGAGGTGTAGACTTCCACCGCCGGCAGTATTAGAGCTCAGTACTTTGATCAATAAGATAATTCTACAAACGCCAAACACTTATTCTGTAAGTACAAGCATGTTGTTTGTTGACCTTGTTTAGACAGAGGGAGAGTTTGAGGAGGTGGGGCCCACAGGACGTGATTTCGGGGACGGAGAGGGCTGTACTCCCTGGTGACCTGTGGTTTCAGTCCTTCCCAGACCCCGAATTCGAGTGGTTGTTTACTACCGATGATTATACATTTGGACAAAATCAGGGTGGGCCCTGAGGAATGTGAGGGTGTGACCAGCAAGGCAGTGTGAAGAAGAGACTAGCATGATAGACTTCCAGGAATCCCCACAGCCTTCCCGGACTTAATCAGTGTGGGTTAGGTGAGGGAGAATGTGCATTCCGTGAGGTTTGGGAAGGTTCCTCTAGAAGCGTCCGCACTTGAACAGGTCCTTTCTGAAGCACCGCTGACCTTGTCAGCCCCATCCCAGAGACCCAGTGTCCCAGGGGCTTAACGTGAAAGGGGACAAGCAGCCAGTTGGCCAGGAGAACAGCCTGGCCGCTGGTGGAGCAGATCCTTGCGCCTCTGCGAGGTGGAAACGTGTCCGGGGAATTTCTCGTTGGATTTAAGAGGTGGCGAATGTGCACACGGTGACTTAGTGAAAGGTGGGGGCCGTTCTACACCCTCGTCAGCGGCTGAACTAAAAGCTGGGTGTTGCAGGTATCACCACGGTGCTGACCATGTCCACCATCATCACGGGCGTGAACGCCTCCATGCCCCGTGTCTCCTACATCAAGGCCGTGGACATCTACCTCTGGGTCAGCTTTGTGTTCGTGTTCCTCTCGGTGCTGGAGTACGCGGCCGTCAACTACCTGACCACCGTGCAGGAGCGGAAGGAGCGGAAGCTGCGGGAGAAGGCGAGCGAAGTTGCCTTCATTGCCTTGTCTGAGCCCATGAGGATGAGAATGGGGGGCGGGGGTTGCATGTAGAAAAGGGAGATGTTTATGCAAAAGGAGGGTGATCCATTTTAGAATAGGTTCTAGCGTTTACCATAAAGGGTCCCAGAAAGTAGGAAGTCTTTGGACAAAGACTAGGAACAGAAGACTTGTTCCTAGTTCCTAAGCCCAACTCTGCCATTTATGCTGGGCCTCAGTTTTTCCATCTATAAAAAGGTGTAACAGCATCCTCACCCACCTTCCTTTCAGGGTTATTGTAAGGGTAACATAAAATAATGTATGCAAAAGTTTGGAAATTGTAGTGTTCTAGACACACAGAAGTATTACTATTATTCTTGAACATGTCTAGAGAAAATGCCTTCGTAGCCTATGGCCAGATAAGGCTAAAAAGCTCCTCTATTTATCAGTGTGCTGGCTCAGTGAAAATTCAGCCACATGGTACCTTAGTCTTTAGTCATTGAAAACACTATACTATGTATACTTAGTGCACTATGCTGTAGGAAACTACACTGTACTATGAGATAGAATGCGAATGGGGAATCACAGGCAATGTGTATGGGCCTTAGACAAAGGATGGGAAAATCTATCCCACTCATATTCATACTCATTAATTACAGTAAGATAAAATGCCAACTTTGTACCAGTCATTGCACTAATCAAAATGAGTGTTTACCTAAAAGGTGTAGAGATCAGGGGCATGAAAACTTCACATTTATGCCCATCGAGGTGGCTGGTAGCTCCTTAGCCCAAGGAAGTATACATTTTAGGAAAAGAGGATGTGTTGCCTTTTCAAAAGGTCTTTCAATGCCCACATTAAACCTGTTAAAAATTTCTACACTGTCTGCAAGTACGCTAATGGTTTAAAAATTTATATTTCAAATCCTATTCAAACCTTTTTTACTTTAGCATTTGAATATTTGTTCAAATTAATAATAATCTGTACATTGATGATTATTAAATGACAGTGGGTTATATGTAAAACCCAAAGTCATTTAATAATGATCAATTGTAAACACTTTTATTTATAGTCTGTTAGACTTTCCTGTTTAGAGATGTTCAAAAAATAACAAAGCCTTCGTCTGACAAATGTGGCCTCATGAATCATTAACCACAAATAACTTGTAGCTGGCAGTTCACTAACCTGTAACCAACCATATGCTAGGGCTTGGTCTTTGCCAGTGATGATACGACACTGTCTGGAGAGAAATGGAAATCACACGTGGAAAGACAATTGGGCAGTAAGTCCAGCTGCCTGTCTGTGTGGGAATGGACACTTGGGAGGATGACAGCTTGTACCATTTAAAGGTGAAACGGTGCAGTTGCTGGAGGATGGGCAGTGGTGGGAAGACACAAAATCTCCCTCCCGCTGCCTCACAGAGAAACCACTATTCACCACCGTGAAAAAGGCCCTCAGTGGAGTTGAGGTTCCCAAAGTGGGGCCAAGGAGCACCTGGCCTGGATTCACTTTCTGAGTCTTTAAAAAAGAAGATTCTGGGGCTGCACCCCAGACCCACTGAGTCAGGATCTCAGGGTTGGCATCCGGGAATCTACCTTCTTAATAAGCTCCCAGGTAATTCTGATGTTCCCTGAAGTTCAACCTCCACTCCGCCAAATGCAGTGCTGACTGGAGCCTGCGAGGCTCACCTTGCTTCAAATGGGGCCCACGCTGCTTGGGCTGAAGGGGTCTGACTCCCTTGCACACACTTGAATGCTTGGGCTGATTATCCAGAACTGGTCAACATGCCAGGAGCTGCTTAATTTTTCTTAGAAACAAGGTGTTGTGGAAAATTGTCATAGTCTGACATTTCCCGATTCTCACTCAAAATGTAAGGAGAAAAATCTGTTTTTATTTTAGCAGAATGCATTTCGATTTAGAACAAGGGAAAGAAGTAAAGACCTGTGCCTTTAACAACAACAACAAAAGGCTCCAGTGACAGTATCTCACACTTTTATCAAAGTTTGGGTGTGATTATATCTAAATGCAAAGAATTGAATAGATGACCTCTTACTGACCTTTTATTCCTAAAGTCTATGGGTTAGTCTATTCTGGAATGTATTAATGTGCTACCTAATTGTGGTGGCTTATGGGACAAGACAGGAAAATAATAATGAAACAATGGTGCCTGATTTAAAAAATAGCCCCCCAAACTACAAAAGATTTCTTCAAGTGTAAGCATACATCAAGTAATTCTAATTTTCCGTAAAAATCATCCATCTGTTTTTGCATTTTTTATGGTATCCGTTTGAGTATTTTAAGATTCATAACAGTAGAAGTCAGGTGTGAAACGTCATTATTTCACATTTTCCAAGTGGAAAAACAGCCACTGCAGGGCTGAGAGCCAGATTAGAAACATATGAACATCAACAGGTTGGGAAGAATGAACGGTGGGGCCAGTTGGCTGTATCAAGCAGGCCTCATGCGTTTGGCCAGAATCAACCAGCGTAGCGCCAGCTGGAAGCCCTCCCTTTGCTGACTCAGATTGTGGGAGAAGTTAGGCAAAACCATTTCCTTCCCTTCAACTTATAATTTATAGACATTTTCATACTGTAAGAACAGTTTAACAAAATAGGATAATGTAACATCCATCCAACATTGTTAACGTTTTGCCCTCTTTGTGTGATCTCTTTCTCTATATAAACATAGTTTTGTTGGTGTAGCTGAACCATTTAAGAATATATTGCAGGCATCATGACTCTTATCCCTTACATGTAACTCTTCAGAGTAAGGACACTCTCCTCCCTAATCATTTTTTAACCCCCGCACAAAGATGTGGAGTCCCACACTGCAATAAAGTCCTGGGTTTAAAGTCCTGACTCTGACACTGGCTGCTGGATCTCAGGAGAATTGTATAGTTTCTTTGGGTCTTAGTTTTTGCCTCTGCAATTGAGGACATTTGGACTAAGTCAGTGGTTCTAGACCCTGGCTACATAGTAAAATCACCTGGGGGTTTTAAATTGGTCTAGAATGGATTGTGCACGTGGCCATTTTAAGAGTTACCCAGATGACTTTAACATGCAGCCAGGGTAGAGAATCCTTGGGCTAAGTGATGTGTGGGGATCCTTCTGGTTGTGCTTTTTGTGGTTCTGCGTAGTTAGTCATGGGCACTTCCTCTGCCCCTCTCCCAAGGCCTAGCCATGCCTGACACGTCCCTTGTGTTTGCTGCCCACAGTTCCCATGTGTGTGTGGAATGCTTCCCTCAAGAACCATGATGCTGGACGGAAGCTACAGTGAGTCTGAGGCCAACAGCTTGGCTGGGTACCCGAGGAGCCACATTCTGACAGAGGAAGAGAGGCAAGACAAAATAGTGGTCCACCTGGCCCTGAGCAATGAATCCAATTCCTCCAGGAAGAAGGGGCTTCTGAAGGGCCAGATGGGTCTTCGCATCTTCCAGAACACCCACGCCATTGACAAATACTCCAGGTTGATATTCCCTGCCTCCTACATATTTTTCAACCTAATTTATTGGTCAGTATTTTCCTAGGGGCTCCAAGGCTGTGCCTGGGAAAGGGCCTGGACATCTATGGGGCCTGACCAGCCATCTACATGGATCTGCTGACCACATTCCCTTCAGCAAACAGAGCAGTAGCCCCTGAACTCCCGTGAGCAGCGCCCCCTTCTGGAGGAGCCCAGGAGCCCTCCAGCTGCCCTTCCCAACCTCATGGATTTGCCCCTCATTCATGCTGTGCTGTGTCCCACATCATGTCTCTCAGTTCTTGTGTGTGAACAGGTTATGAGAGCCCCCTCCTATAAAAAAGGACTCAAATGCCTTCCAGATGTTCTGAGACCCCCTATGAAGCCTGGGACTCAGTTGTGAAGGCAAAGGGGAAAATGAAGGGCAGGCTTAGGGGCATTCTGGATAGGAAATGGGAAATTAGGATTCAAAATAGGAACAAAACATCTGTAAACCCATACAACCGGATTAAGTGCCTCCCTGAGAAAGAAAATAAGCTCAAATCCCAGACAAGAAATAAGTTGACCTGTGTGAGTCTGGCAACTGACATGATTTTGCAATATTAGGGGACATTACTCATTCATCCCTCAATTCAATCATTTATTAAATCTTGAATGCCACATGCTGTGGAAATGAACAACTAGTGGTTCTCAACCTTCTGGCCCTTTAAATACAGTTCCTCATGTTGTGACCCAACCATAAAATTATTTTCGTTGCCACTTCATAACTGTAATGTTGCTACTGTTATGAATCATAATGTAAATATCTGATATGCAGGATGGTCAGGGTCGTTTGACCGCCAAAGGGGTCGCGACCCACAGGTTGAGAACCGCTAAACTAGAAGTTCTCTTTTCCTGGGAAACTCTAAGCCTGTGCCCATTGTACATCTGGCAGAAAGTACTCTGCTCTTCTCCCGCCCTCTACCCGCCAGTTACAGCACAGACCCGTTCTGTCTGCTGGTGCTTTTCCTGCTAGGTCTGTCTAGAAAAGCATTTCCTGTCTCCCATGAGGCCCTTATGAAGCCAGGGCAATGCTTCTCTCCCGGAATTTCCATGCAGGAGAAGCCTAGCACTGGGGAGAGGGACAGGGACGGGGGCTGGAGAATTAGTGACAGCAAAACTTGGTCTGGGGGCGGAAGGAGGCGCGGGTCTGCTGCAGAAATCCATTTCAGGTGCCATCTTACCTCCCTCTCTGCGCTTCTTCTCCAGAAGGTATCCTCAGTGACTCCTGTGTCCAAGCCCTGTCCTCATCCCATGGAGCTCCCCCCCACCCCCCGTGCCAACCAGAGTGCCCCACACCCGAGAATAATTTCTCCCTCACTTCCACAAGTGAGTGACTCTTTCCTCTAATGCAGCTAAGCTCAGATTAGGAAAGCAATCAGATGGATTGAATCTACAGTAAATTGTGAATGGCCATTTCCCCAGTAAACAGAGTAGAATCTTTAATTAGTAGAGGATGCGATTTTGAGAAGGTGACCTTTCCTTTAAATCCTAGCACTTGGAATTAGAAGGCTGCTCTGGGGGAAAGAGCCCTCTAAACCAGTAACATTTCTTGATTACTGAAGGAAGTTGTTCTGCTCTTTTCCCCACTTCCCCTGCCACCTTCCTGCTCAGGGTCTGGGTGTCTGTGTTTTGGTCAAGAATGGACAAATGGTACAGCCAAAGAGGGAGCATAACCCTGCCTGAAGTAAGCATGGGCCCGTGGAATCTGCTCCACAGCTCATGACTCCCAGGGGCAGGATTCCTAAAGGTTCCTGAGGACTGGAGCGCACATGGATACCAGGGCCTCTAGAAGTTTCAGGTCAGGGGCCGGTAGCTACCTGATCCTCTCACTCCCTCAGCATGACTGACTGCGCAATTGCTCTCTGCATCCCAGCTTCTCTCCTCCTTTCCCCAGGTCAGGTAGCCACCCCTTCCTCTGTTCCCATGTGCACTCCTGTGTGACCCTGGTCCCAGACACTTGCTTCACCACCCCATTGCTCATGTTGAGGACCAAACTCATCGCCTCTGGCCACCAGCCCTCATTTGAACTGTGGCCTCCAGCCCACTGGCTCAGGGGCTGTGTGATTCCATACGCTTTACTCTCAGTGTGACCAGCTCCCGGAAACAATATGAATTAGATTGCCGTGGGCAACTACAAGTTCAGAAGGTCCCCAAGACCATTCTCAGGTTTAATAATTTTTTAGAAGTTTAAGAATTTGGAGAAGAAGAAGTGTACATGCTAGATGCACAGGTAGAAAAGGACATTCTAGATCTCTGCTGTCCAATATAGTAGCCACTAGCCATGTATCTATTTAAATTTAAGGTAAATAAAGTAAAAAATGCAGTCTCTCAGTTGCATTGGCCACATTTCAAGTGCTCTGCTCAATAGGCACATATTGTACAGTGCAGATCTATAGAACATCCCCACAGTCATAGAAAGTACTATTAGCACCCGTGTAGATAGATGAAGGGATCTGCCTGAGCAAAGGCATGGAAGCAGCAGGAAAGTTTGGGGTTGCAGAGTATAGGGCTTGTGGAGCAAGTCATCTGTTTTGGCTGGATCCTAGGCTGTGGGAAGAGGAAGTGAGAGACGCCCCTCTTTTTACCATGCTAGGGGTCATGGCAGATGTCCCAGCCAGTGCCAGCGAGGACAGTTTCCTCTCCATGGAATTGCCTGGCCCGAATCCACTGGATTTTCCAGCCTCATAAGCAAATGAAGAATGAAAGTGTGTAAACAAGGATAATTGGATGGGACAGGGCATCTGGACTTGTTGAGAAACCTTTACTCTCTAGAGACTCGCCTAGGTCACAATGCTGCTCAAAGGATGATAATTATATTGTCATTAAGTGTATCATATTACTTTGATTATCTTATTTAAGTCCAACACTACTCTGCTTCTGATTACAATGTCTTCATAAATTGATGCTCATATAACATGGTAGCTTGTTCACACATTTTAACTAGCTTATATATTTAACTAGAGTTAATTCTATAACAAACATATAGCAGCATTGTATCATGTGATTGCCTTATTGCAACATAATAGTCTGACTCTGCTAGAGAACAATGGAAAATTAAAGGAGGTAAAGAGGAGACACGGTAGGAGTAGAAAATAGGAACTAAGGAAATGTTGAGAACCTAAAATGATTTGTCCTTAGGGCAGACAGACAGAGGAGCAAACAATTGTTTCCAGGGATGTTTGAATGATACTTTATTGCACTGAATCTAAGACACCATCAAATATAAGTAAGATGCACTCATATTTTATGTACCATCAATTTTTCCTTCAAGAAAGAAAATTTTCTATTTAAATTATAGCATGCCAATGATTATAAGATGAACCCTGATTTCACCAATATTAAATTGTGAAAATATGCATGTTAGAATAAAAGAACTATACAAAAACTGGTGACTGGACATACTTATTTGACACGAAGAAGTCAATATTTATTGCACACTTGTCTTCCAGGCTTTGTGCCCAAGTGGGGGTCGGGGTGATGGCAGATAATGAAATTAATAGAAAACACCTTTTAGTCATTAAGAAGCTAACACTGTAGTGGGTGTGGTTCAGAGGAGGGGAGGTCATGGAATTTTGAGGAGTAAATGCTGATTGTGGTAAATTTTGAGCAACAGATAGATGGAATTTCAACTAGTAGAAAAGGAGGGGAGTGGATGATAAGATGGCAGAAGGAAAGCCCAGGTGTGCTCAGGGGACAGTGAACAGACACCCAATCAAATGTACAAAAGTCTCGGGTTCTCATCCTTCTGGTTCTGTGGCCCTGGTATCAAGGGTTCTTCTACGTTCATTCCACTCCTGGGGAAGAAATTTGGTCTGGTCTGGGCCATGCATGTCAAAGATATCAAAGCTCTGCACTCTGTGTAAGTTTAGAAAGTGATAACTCTTCAAAAATACTTTGATTTTTTTGTAAACATTTGTGGGAGGGAGACTATGAATTAGAAAAATGAAAATCGGCTTAGTTTGAGGGAACCAATGAGGCAAGAAAATAATGATAATGATAGTGGAGAAAGTTCATGTTAAGTTCAGTTATGTGGTAGAGCCGCAATGTTAACAGAGACTGTGAAACCAGGGGAAACAGCTATTCCATGTAGAGGGTGAGGAGTTTGGGTCTGGCAAGCAAAAGAAAATGTCAAATGAAAAGTTATAAATGCTGGTCCCAGGCTAGAGGGAGGGGAAGATTTGGGACTACCCTCTTAGATGTGCTCAGTGAAACTATCTGGGTGGATTAAATTCATGAAGGACAAAAGCAGAAGACAGGAGGTCTGCGGACAAGAGCTTGGGAGCCTATATCCACGTGGGAAGAGAAGGACTGATCAGAGAAATAGAAGGAGAAACAGACTGTTGTCATAGAAACTGGGAGAAGGGAGACTCTCAAGTGGAGGAGGATAGGGCTGGGGGCAAACAATGACCATAAAAATTGAGGGTAAAGATTGTGAACAGATGTGGCAAGATGGAGGCTGGAGGCCAGGTATGGTCAAGTGCACAGGTAGACAGCTCTCCTTGGTAAAGAATGGGGACCCTTCTCTCAACTACAAGTGATTTTGGGAGGTTTTCATTCTCTGAAGGAAAAATGTTAAGAGAATTATTGCTGTTTATTATAGAAAACTCTTGTTTTCTTGGTGGATTTAAATATAACATTGTGTCATACTTGGCCCACAATGAGGGTTTTGGTCTCCATGGTTAGTTCCTCAAACTATTATATTGGAATTTGGGGGAGTGGTCCAAGAACAGTGTTTATAGCCCTGTCACCAGGTCTGTGGACAAGAGCTTGGGAAGCAGCCGTCTTGAGAATGTGTGCCATCCTTCGTTCCCACACACATGGGGTCAGGAGACAGTGGGGTCAGCCATCACAGAAGAGAGGAGAACAAATGTAAAAGCAACTGCATTGTGTAAAGTGTCAAGTACTGAGTGCATTCTCTGTGCTTGCACCATGGTGATAGCGGCTGTATGGTTCCTAATTCGGTTCACATGTAAACCCTGTGGAGGTAGGAAAGGTTTCCCCTACTACACACCCACTAAAGTGTGCTGCCTTCTG